GAGGTGGGAGGAGCGATGGTCCCTGGAGGGGGTTGCAGTGAAGGACAACACGAGTGTGTCCATTGTTGAATGGAAAACTGATGGTCTGCTCGGTAAACCATCCAGTTCACAATGAAAAGGTGTGGGTGGGGGAAGAAAATAAGTCTGTGAGAAAAACGGCATGGAAAGACACTAGGATTTCTCCCACGGACTTTTTGAAGCCCCTTGATATGGAATGGGCTCCAGGCTCCAGGAAGCAAGTAAGGCAAAAACCAACCAGTGTTTGCATAAAAAGGGGAGGAAAGGCTAGAGAGGGAACCAACAGGGCACCAGCGTCCTGGTGCCCTCCAGCTGGGTGACACGGGCTGGCAGGTACTGCTGGTTCCATCGTGGGTCTTTTGACTTTGGGTCCAGGTTGTTTGTTGGCTGCTGCTGTTGTACTGTGTCCCGGATGGCTGGCGGCCCCCTGGACAGGACCCTTACGCTCCATAGAGTTCTCATAGGTGTATTTTTCAAAACCCCCTGCGGTGCTGTAGATCAGCTGCTCACCACAGCTGGGTGGTCCAATGGTTGGGACCACCAGTGGCGATCTGCTCACGTGAAAACAGTTCTGACCCACAGAGACCCTGTGACAGAGATGAACTGCCCCCCATAGGGTTTCCAAGGCCATCATCTGTGTGTGCGTGTGTTGTCTGTGTTTGCACACGGAAGCGCAAGTCCTTTTTACTGTACTTTGGGTGGAAGTTGGCTTTCCATTCAACAGTTCACACACATTTTGATTTGTGACATGGACTGCAGTCCCCACAGCATCCCTGTGTTCCCACCACGTCATCCTGGTGTGGACCCTTTCCTCTTCCGTCCCTCCTGCTCTACTATCCCAGGGCAAATGCTGCCCTCTGGATCGGGTATGACTGATTGCTCTAAGGAGCACGGTGATACTGTTCACCCCACACACCTGTCTTGTTCTTGCCGAAGGCGTGCACAGTGGGCCACGTACTGGGCTGCTTAACCTCAAGGTTAGCGGTTTGAATCCGCCAGCTGCTCCAAGGGAGAAAGATAAAGCTGTCTGCTCCTGTAACGTTAGTCTCAGAAACCCACAGGGGCAGTTCTATCCTGGCCTCTAGGGTCACGACAGACTCGCTGGCCACGAGTTTTGATGGTTCTGCTGGAAGTTGAGCCACGGGACAGGTTCAGTTCCAGGCCTGAAGGGCGGCAACTTCGGAGTCAGGCTGTAATTTTTTTAAAAATAAATTCTTTTATTGGGGGCTCTTACAGGAGGCTTGTCATCTTTATGGGAGCAGATACCCAGAGATTTTTTTCTCTCCCAAGCGGCTCGTGGATCCCAACTGACCTTTAAGTTAGCAGCTGAGCACTTAACCAACGTGCCCCTGGCTTAGGAGCGGGTCTACTGGGTCACACAGGGTAGATCCTGACGCATCAGAATTCACTTGATGGCACTCAACAACCATCAATCACCATTACCACCATCACCTCCCCACACCCCAACCAAAATACACACATTAAGACAAAAACTTAACATTTTAACATATATAAGGGACCTGAAACTCAGCACTCCTTCCTGGGGCCACACCTTCTTTGATCCCTGATGTCTGGGAACTGAGCGAAGTTTCTCACCTCCTCCCCTCTTGGGTGCCCAGGTGGGCCGGGCCCCCAATGTGGTCATCGTGTTCGACTGCTCCATGGAGACCATGGTGCGGAGGGTGCAGCAGCGAGGGTGTCTGGAGCGCCGGGCCGATGACTGCGAGGCCACTGTCCGCCAGCGCCTGGAGACCCACTATGCCCTGTGCCAGCCCTTGCTCACCTTCTACCAGCAGAAGAACCTGCTGAGAAACGTAGGTGCCTGCGTGTCACCTCGGATTCACCCATTCTCCCTCCCCCCACCATCCCTGCTTCTACTCCGTTCAGGTACTCAGCCCCGGACCCTCACATGGGGACACTCACAGGGACAGAGAGCTCCTTGTAAGAGCACCTGGGGCAAACACCCCTTATGATTGCTTGACACAAGCTACCCGCCCCCCCACACAGCCCCTTCCAGTATGAGCTCCCAGGACCACTGCCTGCGAGCTAGATGCGTTTCCCCTGTGGGTGAATTATATGCAGACAAAGATGGTGTCTGGGTCCAAACCTTCAGTGCAGCAATGGCTTCTTGGGCCACTTCTTTGCTTTTTTAATGAATTCTTTTACTCTCTCCCCTTGCCACTCCCTCCAAGTCAAAGTTTGATTCTTTTAGTAGAAAAACCTCGTGTTTTTTTGTTTTTTTTAAATAACGGGTCTCATTGGTTATTTATCTTTCAGAATTGACAAACTTGACTCAGTGTATTTGGCGGACTCAAGTTTTAGAAATGATTTCCAGCCATTGAGTCCTGGAGACCCTAGTCTCGGTGTCTTAGAAAAACGAATACCAGACTAGTCACAAGGAGTGGGAGACTGAAGATGTCCCCAAATGTCCAGCTCTTCCACGATGCTATTCAGCTGTTCCCACCCCCTGCCTCCCGCACTCCTCTCTTGATATTCCCCCACGTGCCTGGGTTGAGATTCGTTGCAACATCGACCCACAAAACTTTGGGGAAACATCTCATGTGGCAGGGGGGTGCCGTTCAGTCCCAAGCAGAGGCCAGAGCCAGAAGCCCAGTGTGTCTGAACGTCACAGTGGGCCTTCCTGCTCCCAACAACGAATGCTCAGCCAGGAAGCGGAGGTCCCCAAAGGGAACGTTTGATGGAGGTGGGGTTTTCATCTTTCAGGCGACTGTATGGCTCCCCAAGCCCAAACCATGTTCCTGGGAGCTGTTGGGTGGGTTTGAACTTGCCATCTTCAGCTATGGTGACCTAGTGGTTCCTGGCTTGGCTAACTACAAGATCAGTAGCTCAAAGCTAAGACAGCTGCTCGATGGGACAAAGAAGGGGTTTTCTACTCCTATAATTGGCCTCGGAAACTCACAAGGGGACAGTTCTGCCCCATCCTATAGAGTCACTGAGTCAGCATGGCTTGATGGTAGTGAGTTTAGTCTCTTGCCCACTGCTGGACCACCCAGGTTCCATAAGCAAGTAGGTTGGGGCTCCCTAAGACAGCAAGATAGTAACCAACCCTAAGATTGTGGCAACTGGCCACCCACTAAACCCAAACAACAGAACTCATTACCAAGTCAAGTTTGACTCAAGGGACCCTAGATAACAAAGTAGAAGTGCCCCTGCAAGTTTCCGAGACCAACTCTTTACGGGAGTAGAAAGCTGTCTCTCCAAGGTCACCCACAACCCACAACAAAGCCAGCCACATGGATAATAGGTGAGGCCTTCCCACCCTTCAAAGGATCCCTTCTCCTGCTACAGCCGAGATGGGGCTTGGGTTGGGCAGGCATGTACCACTAGCCTCCTCCCTGGCAAGGTTTTCCCAAAGCCAGGGACTGCCATGCCCCTTGGGGCTGACACTACATTAAGAATGTTTAGACCCTATCTACCTACCACCCATTATGCCCCTCACAGCTCAGCCCTAAAGGGATTCGTGACTCACCCCACCCTCCCCTCCCCACATTGCCCTGGTTTTTTAAATCGTTTTATTAGGGGCTCATACAACTCTTATCACAATCCATACATACATAAATTGTGTAAAATGCATTTGTACATTCATTGCCCTCATCATTCTCAAAACATTTCCTCTCCATTTAAGCCCCAGGCATTGGGTCCTCA